CGCGTTCCTCAGCATCGTGATGAGGTTAGTGAATTACCACTTAGTACCCTCAACGTAACCGTAGTCCAGGCTCGTGGGATTTTCTTCATTGGTAGCGAGAAACACCCACTAAAAAGTAAAAGTGCGCGGCAAAGGTTGAATATCACTTCCTAATACTTTTCCGTCAGTGCCAGTGATCGTATATAAGTGCTATCGCGCGGTACACTCTGTCAATCCTCACCACAGCCCTCTCGTAACACCGCACAACACCGCACAACACCTCACACGAAAGTTCTCGCAGCCGAGTGTTCACCATGGCGGAAATTCAAATCCCGAAACTCATTCGTCGAGGTTACTCGAGGAAAGCCGACCCAACGAAGGTTTCACTTCTGCTCGACCTGCCACCGGAGTTGCGTAACTGCGTTTACGCACACTTGTTGGAGCGTAAAATGGGTCGACTCATTATTGTGAGTAATATCTCAGACACACCCTTTTGAATATCTTGCTCTTTCGCTATTGTATCCCATTTTTCCAAACCCATCCGTCGTACAATCCAGGCCTCTGATAAGGTCAAGTTCTTGTTCGTTACACGCACTGGAAATCTAGTGGATGAGCTTTGCTGATTCTTGTCGCCCACTTAGGTGAGGAGAGTACCGAGTTTGCGAGCAGAATTGGTGCAAAAAATGGCGGTCGCATTGCTCCGGTCATGTCGACAGATATACCACGAGGCATCCTCAGCCATGATGGCCAACAACAAATTTCGCTTGATCATCGAATACGAGCACAGTCTGTGCATTGATGATCTTAACGCTGTCTCCGTATTTCTGGTACGTATCCCAACCCATAGATACAGAATGAGTTTACTACCACGTGTTTCTAAGATACAGCGTACTGATACCCATATGTATGAGCTCTACTGACCATGTACCCGTGTATTTAGGACAATCTTGGCTCCCAATGTCAGTTTCTCAAGAAAATCGATCTATTCATTGAAAGCATATGCCCTTTCAATTGTCCCAAGGCAAGCAACAGTAACCTAGCAGATCTCTATCCCAACGACTTAGCTATCAGAGGGGCTGTTCACCTCACTTCTTTCTTGAAAACACTATGGTTCAGTCCACTTGTACCCTCGATACAAGTTTTTGCCAATATCAAATTGAGGAACTATCACAGTAGTGAATCTGTATTCGACTTAGACGCTGTCAAGATTATGTGGGCGAAGATTGGACACGAAGAGTTTATTAAGTCTCGTCTGAGCTTGATTAGCGACATCTTTGCCAAGCGAGATGGGAAGTCAGGATGCATGGTTCTTACCTGGCCAGAGGGAAGGAAACATTCCCGCAATTGGATCACATCATTCCAGTTTGACGAAAACGACAAACTCACGTTCAACCCGGTCCCGATCGAGGTTTATCCACATCGTCAAAGGACAGACGGATCTGATGCGCCGCTAGAGCTGCACGCAATCGACTGGGCCGTTCGGAGGAATATGGATACGGAGCTGTACTATCGAAGTCACCATCTTCGGATCACATTAGAATCCACGACCCGGAGAACTACATTCCAAAAGTTCGAAGCTCTGCATAAGTGGCTGCGGACATATCGCTGGGCAGCTATGCACATGAAGATAACACTCATTCTACACTTCGAAAAATCGGGCGCAGATGGACTGGCCAATGTCTCCTTCAGTGTCCTCGATCTGCTTCTCGTACTTTCACACGTCAAGGCATCCAATGTGGCAATCCAGGTTTCCTTCGAACACAAAGTGAACGAAACGGTACGAAGCGAGACGTACGATCTCTCGTTGAAAGAAGTCCGACTGAGATGTCTCTTTGCTCTCATACGAATCGCACCACTGTGTCATAGGCATTCACCCCTTCCTGCACTTTGGATGAATGGCCTTGGGGATATAACCGGCCCTTTCGTCTATGGTTCGAAGTCGACTATAGTCTTTGCCTCTAATGAGCACTGGAAGCGCGATTTGCGTAATGTGATGGCAAAGGACTCGCAGGCGACACATATCGAATACGATGCTGGGGGTCGAATAATGAGATCCAACGTGGACGATCAAAGGGGTTCGAAGAATCAGCTGGAAGTCTACTTGGAATACCTGAAGATGGTGGTGCGCTATCCACTGGAGCCAGAGATCTGTGCTGAGAACTTGTAAGTTGACTAGCCTTAAGGAGCAAGCTTAACACTGACGCACGAGCTTCCTTATACACTGACTACACGAGTAAATAGAGGATCCGATACAGCTGTCTGGTTTTGGAATGGAATCCTCGTTCCCAGAGCGCGCTATGACAACAGAATGGTCTCGATCAAATTCGTAGTATCTCTTATCTACTCGTAAGGGGCTTGTAAGCCGCAGACGCGAAAGTATTAGTATTACTATACATTGATGAAGTCAGCTCACAGTCTAGGAGTTCCATATTGTTTCCATCAACATGTGCAGAGCGCAGGCTTCCTATATGATGCCAGGTATTAATCCAAACTCCCCTAAAATCATTCTATTTGTATGAAGTCCTTAGAGGACTAGATGTACTGCGTATCTTCAATCATGCATCGTATCAGCGTACCCTATTTTTGTGCATTGGATGTTGAACGGAGCATAGCTGGCAACTTATCTTGCCGTCGTAAAGAAATCTGCTTCGGCGGAATTGTCGCTCATTCCGAGACGCACATTAATGAAAACATTCAAGCAGCGATTGATCCAACGAAGCAGACCCAGCGACAACATCCTTAAGCAAATCCCTCCTCGCAGAAACGGCATGGAAAATAGGATGATCCTCTCCTACGCAGATTTTCTCGTGCGCAAGCTCCTTCTCAATCCACAAAAGTGCCAGCTTCACATTTCCCAGCTCAAGACAATACCTCGCAGCATCATGGTACGAGGTTCGAAGCTCCCGATTCAGAACGCCCTCGGTCATCTGAAGTCCTGCTAGCCGTGTCGCAGTTTTCAATGCTTGAGCTGCTGTCATCTCTGTCCCGTACACACTCTGCTTGGCAAGCTTTTGATCAAGTTCGAACATCTCTTTGCGTCTTTCTTCTCTCTTTTTCCCCTCGGCGTCATTCCCACATGCCGCACACTGGCACACAAACCCCCACATGTCTAGCTTTGGCTGTCTCCAGTTTCGGAGTCGGCTCCCACCGTTGATGTACGAGATATATAGCTCTTCTCCCTCGGCAATATCTTTGACAGCGTGGAACGTTCCTCTCTCAATCGCGGGATTGAATTCGTAGTGCACGTTCGGAATGCATGAATGGTTGATGCGACTTGGGAGGAAATATACGCCGACCTCGAAGCTGTTTGCGTCATACACGCCAATAGCATCGCGCTCCCAGTTGGTAAGATCACCCCACCGCTTCCCCATATACTTCTTGACGACGTCTTTGCGTATTGATGGAGCAAAGGGGTGAAGTTCGAGATACCTTGCCTTGTCTTCTTTGGAAAGCTTGTTGACTGTGCTGAGGATCTCTGCGGGGTTTTCGCCGCCGTTCAAAGCGAGAATGAGGGGCTCTGAGAGGATGCGGGTCGCGCGGGGAATAGGTGCCTTTGCAAAGACTCCGAGTCCCTTGAATGGGGTCTGTCGAACCTCGATGAGATGCCTGGCATCGTCACTCTCTTTGGAGTGACTGTTGGAGTGGCCGTTGGAGTGGCCTCTAGAGGCGTTGCCATTTAAGCTGCCTTCGGCGCCCATGCTGATCGATTCTTGGCTTTCGGATGATGGTTGTAAGCTAAGCTGTTCCTCCTCTTCGTATATACTATCATCGAGTGGAGGTCACTGTCAGTAGAGTACTGTAAAATGTCTGCGACAGTACGTGCTGGCGATGAGGGGTGAGGAGCTGGCACCGAACACGGAAAAATTCTAACTTACTTGGTTAGGGTTACGTGGTCGGGAGACAGTCGCACGCTTATGTGGGTCCGTGGGTCCTTTTTTAGAAACTTTACCGATCCGATTAAGCCGACATGCACTATTCACGGATCATGAATTGAAGTTATAATTATTTTTGCTACAAAATGATACAAAATTACAATAATGCCATAGTGGGGGAAGCAAGGTTCGATAGTATTGAATGAGGGAGTGTTCAAGCACAGCACTAGGTGTTTTTACAGTACCAAGGCAAAGCATTGTAACATTTTCGCACGGTAGGTCTAAAGCTTCACACGACTCTTGAGATACAACTGTAGTATTTATAAATACTGTAAAGGTTGACTAGGTTTTAGTTTTCCACAAGCTAAATTTGTAATTATATCTCTCTAGAGCACTTTTCGTGCATCACAAAGTGGTAAACTACTACTATACTAGGTCGAAAGTCTTACAACCATTTCTCACCAAGATTGTCGGGAAAGTATTTCCAGGCTTTTAACATATCACTCTATAAGACTCATATCGAGCGATTATGGCGCAACAAGCTATTAGTTACATAATCATCTATCACCGCAAAGTGTTTTCCAAGTCAATCCAAGATCCTTAGGACTGCCGAGCCCGAATTAAAACGATGCAACTAGCCTCCCTCTCCCCGTAGGTGTGTCATAGACGAGAGTACATGCCTTACTGCAGTAGAGTATAGCCTTTTGTAGCAGTCTTAAAGATAGACTTGGCTTGCAATCTGACTAACGTTAGCTTGTCTGCAAACACTGGCCTATCTAATGCCCCTAGCACTATCGAACTGTTCGAAATGTTACAATAATAATAGGATCGTTGTAATCTAATTATATTGGAGCTTTCTGTTTTGGCTGGGCATAGTAATATGCCAAGAGAGACTGACACGTGGCCGATTTCTCTTACTAAACAATCATGCCACTATTAATCATGTTAACAACAACCTACCCGATAGGTACCAAAAACAATTCGAACGCGGCTGTAGCCTTTCGCATTATCTGCTATCGAAATAAGCGTGGTTTGGGCCACAAGATTGCGATCTTCATGGCATTTCGTTCCAAACGCTCCCAAACCCTCACCACACGTTTAAAAAAAAGCCGCAAAAAAGAACGCAGAAATAGCAAAAACAAATTCTACTGCATCGGCCGGGAATCGAACCCGGGGCTAGCCGAAGCTGCAAGCTAGGAGTGAATCCTAGCTTATGGCAACGGCTAATTTTACCACTAAACCACCGATGCTGTGATTTGATTTATGAATATTGAGGTAGGTAAGTCGTATATATAGAAGCAAAAAAAGGATCACATGAAGGCCTAGCAAGCTGTCAGATAATCGGTCCTCAGTTCACGAGAATCTATGGTGTAACGCGCTGAAAATTTCAAAGTGTTTGTGTGGGGACACGGTGTGGATAAAAGGCGCGAAGCTAGCACAATGAGGCAGGATATCCGCAACATACACGAGTTGATTCGCAGGGTGGTGCAACACCAATACGGACATAATGACGAGAAGAGTAGATCTCTTGTAATCGTAGTGAATTTCAGTTAGAGAATCAGTTTCGCATTTTGTTACTTATTGTTCACCACATACAAAATAGGCATTTTACACTAGTTTGCAATTCTTTTCTATTTGATCGAACACACGCTTCTCTATTCGTACTCATTATCCATTACGACACATGATTTCTTTAGCTCACCAAAAGCGCTCCCGTACGCCAACGGGTATGTATATACGACTATCATTATCTACATGAATTGTTCCCAAAACACCCCAAAACAGCCAGTGCAAGAAATGTCCCAATCCGCTTCCCCAGTCTCAGTAGAGATGGTACGGCGATATCATCTTTGATCTCCCGCGGTCGATGCAGAAGAAATTCTCGACCCCCAAACAGAGACGCGGTGACGCCAAATCTGATGATGTGAAAATCTTTCGCTGTACCTTACAAAAAATCCCAGAATAGCGCGAGTTGTTGTTAATGGCTCCCGTGCTTCAAGCTGCAATCATAGTTCCAGGACTTTAATTCTCTTCACGTAGCGAACAGCCCACCAAGTTTCTCGTTCAAACCTGGTGTTGCCACCTCGGTCGCCGGCGTCGTAACCTGCGGCACAAGTCCCTTCATCATATACACTAAATCAGCCGCCTTGAACGGCTTTTGCATGACACGATCCTATCTTCGTTAGTCACTTCGCACTCGGGGCCATATAAGATAGTTGACTTACCGCGCCCGCAGTCATCGCCGAATCGATCTGCTCCTGCCTCACATTAGCCGTAACGGCAATTATCGGAAGCCTCCCTCCGCCGCGATTGCTGATCTCCATTGCCTGCCCCAGCAACCCTTCGCCCTCAAGCTCTCGCTTGCGTATCTCTTGCATAGCAGCCAGTCCGTTCAGCACCGGCATCTCTAGGTCCATCAACACGACATCGAAAACTTTCTTCTCTAGCATGTCTAGAGCTTCAAGCCCGTGGTTCGCTACGTCGACAAGGCACCCCGCTTTCTTCAACTGCTTGCCCAACACCTGCTGATTGATGATATTGTCTTCTACAAGCAGGACTGCGAGTTGCTGCGGCGCGGGACCAGTACCGCCACATTCGTGGAATAGTTCGCCTAGAGTCTGCGGTCTCCGTTCCACACGACGAGTCTTAACGTAGAATCCAAATACTGACCCTCGCCCTAAGCTAGAAGATACGCCGATCTCACCACCTTGTTTCTCAGTCAACTCCTTTGAGATGAAGAGTCCAAGGCCGCTGCCGCCGTACCTGACGTGCGTTTTCGTATTTGCCTGGCGGAAACGTTCGAAGACTTTGTGAATCTCTTTGTCGCGGAGTCCAATACCAGAATCTCGCACAGTGAAGGTGAGGTACATGGATTCTCCGGTTCCCCATTCGGAATTCGTGGTGACATCTCCCGTCTCTTTACTTTTGCTTGCCCAAAATGTGTCAGTGGGGAAAAAATCCCTAGGACGAGCTTTACATGCCCCGAATCGCACGGAAAGTACGGGATCTTTCGACGATTTGACGAATTTGATCGCGTTTGTCAAGAGGTTGATAAATATTTGAGTAACGCGTGAAGGATCGAAGTATAGGTAATCGACGTTGAGCTCAGTGAGTGAAACGTCTTGATCAACTGTGTAGCGGATCTTGTTACTTTTGAGCTCGGGTTCGAAGATGGAGATGATGGAATTTATGAGCTTTGAGGGGCGTACGGCGCTGGGTGTGATGGAGAGGAGCATGGAATCGAGTTTGCTGAGTGTGAGAACGTCGTCGATGATGCGTTTTTGGTGATTGGCACATTGCAAGATGATGTTGGCGGATGCGAGGTTGTCGTTTAGTGCTTCGATGCAGGGGTTTGGAATGTCAGCAAGCAGAGTGTGGCATTCTTCGACTGCATTGGCGATTCCGTCAGCGCAGTGCACGATCGCTGAGAGTGGGTTGCGCATTTCATGTGATACAACGTCGATGAAGGCTTCTTGCTGCCGCTTGGCTTCTCTTGCTTCTGCGGCTAATCGTGCCTGGAAACTCTGCGCCCATTTGAGCCTGCTGATATCAGTTGTGCACGCCATAATTGATTTAACCTCCCCGTCTTCACGATATGGAAAGGCGAGGACCTGTAGCTGTGCTGGCTCTGCGTCTCCGATAGGTGAAGTGTAAAGTCGCTTCAAACGCAACTCAACACTGACATGATTAACGCCTGCAATGAGATTGTCCCATACTTCTACAGCCTTGATGCGATCCTCATCGAGCCAGACATCGAAGTGTGTACAATCTCCTCGCTGGTTCTCTGCGGGCACCCCTGAGAGCTCGTAATAATGATCGTTGCCCCATATTATATGGCCATCGAGCGATATATGGACCATACCGACCGAAGCGTGTTCGATCAAATGTCGGAGCTTCATATCACTGAGCGCGAGATCGTTTTCCAGTTTCTGCTGACGGACCTTCGTTTGCTCCATGTTGACAGCTGTGGAGAAGAGACTCGATACCATCCGGCTGAGGTCCTTTGTAAACTGATGGCAATTTTCGTCGTGCGGCCGGCAGGGATTGGCGCCTGTAATGAGATAGCCGAGTATGCGCTTTCCGCTCGTTATTGGCAAGATTGCAATCTTTTTCGACGGTGAGCCCCAACCGGCCCACGAAATGGAGTCAAAACGGTCGTCGTAGTCAATAAAAGTGGGCTCCAAGCCCGCATGCCTGCAATCGGGGGATAGTCCTTCATCACTGTGGATAGCCTGCCCATCTACTATCAGATTGTGTCCTTTTGGCAGTCCAATGTGACCCCTGAGCCGCAGGACACTCGATTCCGAACTCTCTTCCACCTCGTACAGTATCGCTAGTGGTATATCCTCGCCGTTCGTTTTCAGAACTTCCAACAAATGGCTGCACACGGCGTCGAGACTGAAGTCGGGCACAGAGGCGAGGCGGTTCAGAAGCATCGTTCGGCGGTCGGCGAGGCGCTGGCTTGTGACTTCGAAGAGCGAGTTGTAGAAGCCTTCGGGCTGGTTCGTGGGACCGTTGCCGACTGTCACATATTAGCCAGTGTTTCGGGGCTTTGAGATGCAGCATGTACTTGGAACAAAGTTTCCATTGAAGAACGCCCTGCGCAAAGTCAGCGTAGGCCAATGTGGGTAGCGCGAATGCTCACTCTTCTTTCCATCCTTTCCGCTGAACCATCAATGAGTGAGCCGACGAATAATCCACTCCGCTTCCCTGCTCGCGTGCCTTGTCAAAGTACGGCTTGATCTGCGTCCACAGATCTGGGTAGCCTTCAGGAAACGCAGCGCCCATGAGGCCCGGGTGGGCATGGGCTGAGAGAGGCATGTATGCTTCATTGTAGATGGCAACGAGATGCGGCCCCCTGTTTCTGTCAACATCCCCCATTGCTTCATTACGATATCGCTTTCTCATACCACCACAAGCAGGCCGCGCGCGAGTCTGCGAACAGCATACACGTAAAGATGCGCAGCGTATGGTTCCATTCCTTCAACGGCCCCAATCTACTTTTGCCCCAGTCTGTCTGGCGGAAAAAGCGCACATGGTCGGTTTGCGGGAGATCCTCTGTCCAGTCGTACTCCTCCGTCTCGCCCTCTGGCTTCGGGGTCAGAAGCTCGGTGGTTGTGTCCCCCCTCTCAGGCGGGGGCGTGTGTTGTTGTTGCATGCGACCGACAAGACGCCTCTTCACGGAGGCGCAGACGCATTCTTGAGACGGTATCTAACGAGAGAAGAGGCCTGAGCGATGCAGACTCTCCTCCACTGGTGCCGCCTCGTTTCGAATTCCCTCCACACGGCCGACTAATGCCAAATCAATGGAACGCTGGACCCGGACTTTCGTCGGTTTGGTCTAGCCGCATGTTCTGTTCGATCCGATAAGCGAGATCGGTGATGCATCATGCAGGCCGCTCCCACATTATTGCCCAACTCTCGTCGTCTGTCTCTTTAGCGTCGCAAGGAGGCCGCGAGAGAGCTGCGAATAGCATAGCGTCTCGGGAGCGTCAACTGTAAGCGAGCGGGCCATCTTGGATCGCATTGCTGTGCGTTGAGACGCATCTAGGCCGGTCCTCCCCACATGAAGATCATGATGCTCACCGGATTTCGACAAAGACCCATACATCTACGGTGATAGGAAATGCCGAGGTATTCCTAGAACTACGCACCCCAATACCCATTGGTAGTCCGCGTCAAGTGTGACAACACTCAAATTCAAATGAAACGTATGAAAGGTATGAGAGGTGGATAGGAAACAGTCTACACTGATTCGATCGACGCCTAAGCATGGCTGAGGTCATCGAGAGCCTGCCCCACACCATACCCCCCGGTATCTGCAATCGTCTCACCCCAAAGTTGCTCCATGACCTTTTTGCCTTCCTCAGTGTACATCAAGGCATGGAACCTAGGACAAAAGTCAGCCCGCAATCCAATAATTCCACGCATTCCACAGCACTTACGGGTAGTTCTCCCAGTTGACAATGAAGCTCCCATGCGATTCTTTCCCTTTGACGACCGCCGCATCAACATATGTCCAGGCGCCTTGCTCCGCCGTTCGTCCCATGACAGCACTCAAGACTCCGATCACTATTTTAGCAGCTGCGGGCACATCCTTCGAGAATCCTGTCATAGCGCTAAATCCGGGATCAACATTGTTCACAACAACATCATCCGCCTTGACGAGCTGGCTCATTAGAAGCAGCAAAACCTTTCCACGCCTTGCCAAGCTCTGAGAGAAACGGGGTAATTTTGCGCTCGGGAAACT